ATTGGCAAAAAACCCCGATCATTCAAATACGCTTGTTCACAAGTTGCAGGCCAAACACTTCCTCCTCCAGCATATCTTGACGGTAGTCCACTTTGGACACATGCATGAGGTGGTATCATTCCTTTTAGGAAGGAATTGGTGACCTAAATTATTTTCCACACACAAACAGTTTCCTAGATGGGCAAACAGATGTTATAAAGTCAACAGCTTTATCTGTATCAGATGTGTGTTCACCATTCTCTGCTTCCTTATTTGAAATACTCAGTTTATGCCAGGTTTCCACACATACTAGTTCAAGGCTTGCAGGGTTTGAGTCCTTCAAGCTTTGAAGGCCAAGTCAGTGTATAGCCATAAAATTATAAAACTCAAAAGATGTAAGGACCAAAGATCCACCAGACCGAGTCATAAAACCTGTATTTGTCACCCTTTACCACTGCCTCATATTGCCTGAAAGCTTATTTGCATACAGAGGCAAAAGGGTAAATTGATTGTACTACTCAGATAAGTATCCTGAAAAGCTGATCTGATTGTTTACTTTATATAAATCACAGTCTTGCTAACCCACAAATAAAAAGGTCATGAGATTATTACAATATTTAGTTTTTATTTTTGTTTGGTTGTTCACCTCCCCCCTGCATATCCTTCATGATTATACATGCAACCATAGCAAGACAATTTGGGGTATTCCTTTACAGATGTGAAAATACATATCATATATTATTATCTACAGTTCTATATAATTATCTACAGCTAACAAAAGAAACCCTTGTTACTTGCACACTTTCAAAACAAAATGTTATTTTTTTTACGATTTCTTACACAGAAACCTCAGCATCCTAGATTAACCTCAGCCTTAGCAATGAGGTCTTTATGTTAAAGTAGGACATCATGGGCTTATTCAGTTATTATATTCCACCAGGTTTGTTTGGACCAGAAAATTAAACCAGGAATGACAGATATGTATAAGCTGTGTTGCTGTTATTTTGATTATTTTATACTATTCTTTTAAAAGGTGAATTCTTACCTCATGAAAATAATTAAATCTGTATATAAACCTAAGGTATGTATATAATAAATTATTAGTTAGCATTCTGGTAGAAATAAAGAGTTTTTAAAGAACCTCCGTATTTTAAGTATTTAGTTACTAAATTTAAGTATTTTTAAGTATTTAGTTACTTTGTTCATACAAATGTGCCAAAAAAATTTAAAATTCTGGTCAGAGTTGTAGCTGCAGGCTTACAAATTAAACAGCACAAACCTGCAAGGACCAGTAGGTCAAATTTCTCGTTAACCATCCTTTCAGAAAAAGCTGCCGACTTCCTGACATCTTCAGAGTTGTCAAAAGACATTATCACAAAGCAAGCTTAGCCCCTGTAACATTTTCTGTCTATAAAGAATCAGAAAGGGAGTTTTGTGCCTGTGGCTTGAAAAGAAGGCATACAGCGATTGCACACAGTTATCTCAGTCAGAGCTGTGATGAGGTAAATAAAGGACGGTTTGTGCACATGCAAATCTGTAATCCATAATATTTCCAGTGGATTGAATGTAAATGAAATTCTTTCCTGGTTTCACAATCCTCAGTGATTCTATTTCATAATTTTAGAAAATGTTACACACACAGCAGAACATGCAAATAAATAGATAGGCAGTAGAATGCAAAAGACACAGGCAGATTGTCCCATAGGTGATTTTATATCAGAAAATGCAAAACTACAAAGTCTTGCCTACATGCTGCTGTGTATCCATAGCAAATGCTTAAAAAATGCAATCTTAAAGCATTTATTCACTGACCACATTTTCAAATGCATGAAAAAATGTTCTGTATACACATACCAAGAGCACTCCTACATAGAGCCTGTAGTCACATGGAGACACTAGATAGGTACAAATTGTATCTCACTTACATAACCCCGTGGTGACAGAGACACCAAAGGTTTCACTGTGCAGCTTTCAGGGCAATGATACACATCAAGAGCCCTGCCTTGTTCCATCTCTTTTCACACCCTTCAGCAAACCCTGAGCGCTGCCTCCTCATTTGCCTCTGGATGGCCTCAGCCCAAGCCCTGGGACACCTTTAGACCTACAGATCCTACTGTACTGATGAGACATGAAATCCCACCCAGGCAAAAAGCACTAGGATCCTGGCTGAGCTGCTGCATTAACCCCCTTTTCAGCAATAACCTTAAGAGAACAGGCTCTATCCTACATACGCAGACCTGAACGGAAAAGGGCTTAGCAGTCACCATCTGAGTTCTAAAGGCTTAAAATGTGTAAAGAGAAGCTTGAAAAAAATCTGAATATGCAAACTACTACTAAAAGGCACATGAAATATTGACAAAGACTATTTAATCACTTTTTTTTTTTAAAAATTTAAAAGCACCTAGACAAAACTTACTATTTAGCATCTGAGTACAAGAGGAAGATAAAATTGAAGGTATTTTACTGTTTTTTCAAATGTATATAAGCATAGCATACAAAGTCACTTCAAAATGCTTCAAAACAATGATTTGGGGCCAATATGAACCACAGCAAATGTTGTTCCTTAGAAGAAACTGAAAAAATAAAGTCAGGCTTTTTATCTCAGAAAAAATGTTGATAAACCCAAACCACACCAATTCACTTAAAAATAAGTCTATCCAGAATATTTAAAATGTGTAAACTAAAATGAAAATATTCTGTAACTTTTGAGATTTGTAGGACTAACAGTAAATTAAGTCAGCCATTTTTTAATATCAGGGGCATTATTAAGCACACTAAAGAACATGCCCTTTTGCACAAGAATTAAGAAGCTTGCTTAAGGTCACACAATCAGCCAGACACAACCTTTAGCTGTGACAAAGCCTTCACAATCAGTCTACTGCTTTAATTAGTAGTTTGACCTTCCTAGACATGAAAAATCACAGTCTCCTCTGCCACTGAATTATTTTTTAATTTGATAAAACTGAATGTGCTATTCATGGATGTCATCCATGGACACAGATTTGAAACAGATGCTCCTAATATTCTTTCTTCCCCTTGTATTTCATCTGTATGAATCAATGCCTGGGTAGGCACCATCTGTCCTTTGTTCTCTGTTGCCAGAATGGGCCACTTCAGAAGGAAAAAAAAAAAAATCATTGTCAGAATTTCCTGGACAATGCAAATTCTGAGCCTAACGCAACACAGCTACTGAAGCACTGGGATTAAATCACTTCTTTAATCACTTTGATTAAATCAAAGACTCCTTGTTACTCAAAATAGTTCGGGTTAATTATTTTCTTCATTACATGAGACTTTTCCCAGAACCTCCTTACTTCTTCTGGCCCCTTTTTAAATATCTTTCCAGTTGTGCTGACACATGAAAATTGCACACCCTAGAACTCTATGAAAGTATTTTCCATGTACTCTCACAATCGATCTGTACAAAAGTACCAACTGTACCTTCTGGACAGTGACCAGTCTATGCATCAAAGAACCTAATTTACTCCATGACCTCAGGTTTGCATTGGCAGTTCATGTTTAGTTGGCTATTTGCCATACAATATAAGCATGAATCTCTATCAGCAAGCAAGGCACATTGCTCTGTAATACAGATTTCTTCTTATAATTTACTATTCCACCTACTTCTAATATTTGCAAATTCTAAGTGATACTTTTCTCCATACCGTTGCTGAGAAGTCTGTTGCTCACACTTAGCTGTGTATTTTTGTGGTTTGCCTCTTTAATATTTCTGCCTCCCTACAAAGAATACAGGCACAGAAGAGATTTTTAGAGCAGAAAAAAAAGCAGTAAAAAGATAAACTGCTCAACAGAGAGCACCGAGGACTCTGTAAAAGATGAGTGCAGAGGCTGTTAATCAGGGAATCAGACGTGTCCAATCCCATTAATATATATATTCTCACAAGGCCAGAGCCTAGCAAGGAGATGTTAAATTGTTAAAGAGGGTGGCAGATCTCAGGAGTCACACAGGATGGGAACTGAAGAAGAGAGCAGGCAAACCCAGGCTAAAGGACATACTAAATCCAGCTGTGAATCGCCTCTGGTGGGAACCTTTGTTCCGTGCCCATCAGCCCATGGGCCAGTGGCTACAGAGGCAGTGTCTGTGGCTGTGGGAGAGACTGGCCAGCTCGGGTGGATGCCTCCCCACTCACCAGCCAGGTCACCCCAGCATCTACTAGCACTGGGTTGTTTCTTCACAGAATCACAGAATCAATTAGGTTGGTGAAGACCTTTGAGATCATTGAGTCCGAGTCTTGTCCTAACACCACCATGTCGTCTCTATCATGGTGCTAAGTGCCTCAACCCCATCTTTCCTTAAACACCTCCACGGACAGTGACTCCTCCACCTCCCTGGGGAGTCCATTCCAATGTCTATTGACCCTTCCTGTGAAGAAATTCCTTTTAATGGACAACCTAAATCTCCCCTGGTGCAGCTTAAGACTATGTCCTCTCGTCCTGTCACTGGTTGCCTGGGAGAAGAGGCCGACCCCCAGCTTCCCTCAAAACCTGAGGTAATCGTGCAGTCCTGTGCTTACTTCAGGTATTACTACTTCAGTTTTAACTCGGTCCTCTCCCGTACCACCTACTGCTGTGAGAGCACAGCACACACCGGTACATACCAGGCGACCAGCAGCACCTCACCCGCTCCATTCCCTCAGACGCACCTCCCTGTAGCACCCCCGGTGCCCACGCAGTGCTCGGGAGCCCCGCCCTGGCCACCACCCACCGCACGCCGGGGGCTTCCCGCGAGAAAAAAACCTTAGGCGACTGGCATACCTTCCCCCGAGCCCCGCCACGAGAGGGGCAGCGCTGTCTAAAACCTGACCCCCCGCCCCGCTCCCGTCTCGCCCAAGCCCCCGCGGAGGCAGGGGCCGTCTCCGCAGGAGTGGCGGCAGGCTCCCGGCTCCCGCGGCCGTGGGGGCGGGCTGGGGGCTCTCGGCGCGGGGCCGGGGCCGCGCTCGCTGGGGGGCGCGCACGGCCACAGACACAACCACAGGCACAGCCGCGGCCGCTCCGCGGGCGGGGCCGGGGAGTGACGCGTAAACAGCCCGGCGGCGGCCCCGGCAAGCGGGAGCTGCCGCTGCCGCTCCGCGCCCCGGCGCACCGCCTGGCATCCCCACTGCCCGGTGCCGGCGGAGCGGACGAGGAGCAGGACGAGGAGGGGAAAGGCTGGCGCCGTTTCTCGCAGCGGCCCCCAAAGCTTTGTGGCCGCAGCCCGGCGCGGCCGGCGGGAGCGGCGGCCGTAGGAAGCGCCCGGGGCGGGAGGAGCCGCCTCGGGCAGCGCATCGCGGCCCTCGGGTGCGCGGCGGGGCCGGCGGCGTTGGAGGAGCCCGAGCGGCGGCGGGGGCCGCGCGGTGAAGATGGCGACCCCGGGCATGGGCTGGCAGCAGCCGCAGCACGGCTACGGCGGCGGCTCCGCGCCCGGCGCGGGGAAACTGGGCTCGGGCTCGGCACAGGCGGGGCTGGGCGCCGAGCACAGCCCGGACCTGCACTTCAAGATGAGCAAGAAGATCGCCCAGCTGACGAAGGTAAGGGAGGCGCGCCGAGTCCTCTGCCGCCTCGGGTGTCTTCCCGCTCCCGCGGTGCCTTCGCTCCGCGCTATCGCGCGGGCTCGGATGGGCCTGGAGAAGGGCTCTCTGTCAAATCCGGGCGGGATGCAGCCGGGTGTGTGCCCCGGGGGCTGTGCCTGGAGCGGCCGCCTCGCCCCGCGGAGCATCCTCGTTCGCCGGGCTCCAGAGCTTGTGGTGCCCCGCGGTCCCGCGGACCGGAGCCCCGGCTTGGATACGGACCACTCCCGGGAGCTGCCGCAGTACCGGCCCCCGGTACTTGTGTCCGAATCCCGCCTGGCACGGCCACCTATCCCGGTGTGTGGGAGCGGGTCCCCGGCTGCTGGGCTGGCACTTGATATTTATTCTGTGGAAATTGCAGCTTCTCTTCTAGCTCTTTTTTAAGCCCCTCTCCAGATCTCTTTAAATTGAGAAATTTCAAGTGTTGCTTGCCTTCCGTTTGCTGTAGTGCTGTCATTTAAGGTGTCTGCTAAGAGCTTAAGTGCCTTAGATGGCGAGGGCGAAGAGTGAGAAAATCTCTGGTCTGATATTGCTGATTGAACAGATTTCATTGTGTCATCCCTAGCCTAGAAAATACACTCTATCTTTCATAGAGGCTGGAGTCAAGCTACGAGGTGTTTTGGAAGCGTAGGGAAGGTGAGGCTGGTAGGCCCCGTGTTTCAGATGTGATTGCAGCTGTGATTTACTTAGCATAACTTAAAGGAATGCTTTGGTGCTGTAATCTTTCTTGTATGACGCTCAAGCTGTAGGCGAATAGCATTGTTTAGGGAATGAGAGCCAGATTATCTTTGTTAAAGAGAAAGCAAAAGAGGTAATTTCTGTCGAGAATTTCATAGCTAAAACATTTAAAGGTAATTTAAAAGCGCCGTGGGAACTGCAAGTATTCTTCAAATGTATGCTAAAATGGATGAAGGTGACATTTCATTGGAACTAAGAATGAAGACTGCTGGCAGTCTCACAGCAGAGACAGTTCATATTTATGTACAGTTGATGCACCATCGACCAGTTAAAAATAGTATTTATCATGACACACTGTGCACATTCATGTGTTGGAAAACTGATGACTGAGGGATATTTTGTCTTTGTATTCAGAGTCCAGTTCCTTTCTGTGTTAATATCAGTGGAATTCTAATTTCATAAGGAGAAAAGCTGAATTAAAATAAGCTGAAAAATCTCCTTGGTTTTACTCCCTGTGCATACAAATCACAAATTAAAACATGAAAGGTATTACTACAGACTTGTGCTCCCTGAATGGTGCAGAAAGCACCTGGAGACCATAAATGTGTATTAGACTTACCTTAAGGCCTAGTGCATATGTAAAGTAATACTTTCAAAGACTAATTTGATTTTGTGTGTGTATCTTTGATATATTTCCCGTACTTTCTCTAGGAAATTACCCAGCAGTTCATAGTTTATTTCAGGAACAGCATTCCACCTCTGTTGTGGAGTCATTTGAGCATACCCATGAGTTCCACATCACTGGGCCTGTGCCCTGTGCACTCTGTTATGCATCAGATATCTTGAGGTGGATGTGAGTTAAATATGTATTTAAATGCATGATGATGAAATATTTTGAGTATCTGTATTGGAAAACATTAAAAGAGTGAAAAACTGGTTTTTCATATAATTTTTTTAATTACCCATACTGAGTTCATCTAAAATGCTATATATTGTGTGCATGTCTATCCTGACAAAGACTTTAGAGTAGTGCAGATAAAAGCTATGCATTGTCTTCTGCTTGTGTATTTAAAACAATTGTGAACTCTGTGCTTGTAAAAGGAATTTACAAGTGAGTTAGTCTTTTGCTGGACTTGAATCTTGTATGTGTTTCCCAGTGACTTGCAGATTCTGGCAGTGTTTTACTTTGTGTGTTTTTGTTCTGTTTTCGAGTTTTAGGGAGAAAACTTGGAAGATCAACTGATCTTTCCATTGAGTGAAGGCCTGGAGTGAATAATAGTATTATTAAATGTAAACCAGGATGTACATAAAAATACTTCTCTCGCACCTATTGCAACAATAAAATTAAGACTTTAAAGATTAAGATTAAAAGTACTGTATAAGATTAATTCCACTAAGGTAGAGATACACCTTTTGACAGTTTTGTAGTTAGAGGGCTCAGGTGCTACATTTCTGTTTGTTACTTGACCTTTCAGAAAGAGAAGCTTAAAATAAGTGTAGAAACTTCTGGGTAAAGTATAATTTAAACTTTCTAATCTGCTCTAGAATCTGAAGCCAAATTTGATAGCTGGCTGCAGAAATTAATCTTGGTAAAGGACTTAAGCTACTACAGGGAAAAAAATATAAACACGATACTTAATTTCTCAAGGTAAGAGTTAACTGTCAGAGAATAATTAACTTCACTTTACAGAAGATTTCTTGAAGGAAGTTGTTGCAAAAAAGATTTTAGGATTTTTCTATTAAGGTCTTTTGACCAAATTTTGCTGTTTTAACTTTGTCAAGTGCTTACTAGCATATGTGTATTTAGGAACTTATTTTTAGGAAAGTCACTTCTTAATTGTGCTTCTCAAGCTCTTTAATGTCATATATAAGATACTTCTCACACATCTTTCAACTGTTTTTCCCATTTATTTATTTTTTACTTCCAACTTTTCTCTGAGAGTACTTTGAAGGTATATTAACTCTCCCTGTGGATTTAGAGCTGAAGTCAGGCACTTTACCAGGTCAAAACAAACTCATTAATATAGGATAGTTGAAGTAAATCCAAATATGCATTGTCAAAGGAATATACACAGTTAAGTTGTCCAGACAGCTTCTGTCTTCTGACAAAAGGAACGTGACTCAATAGTGGTTTTTTAACCTATCCTTGTACTGTTTGTATTATAAGCTGTGATTAGGAGCAGAAGAAAATGCTTTCCCCACAGAAGATGCAGGTCACTCATGAATTAAATGTAAAATTCCAAAATTAGGATTCCTCTGTTACTTTTTGCATCACTTAGAGAGAATCCGATGCTTTAGTCAAGGCAATACGGGAACACAAAGTAAAAGGTGGAATTTGTTTAATAAATGGATTTAATCACTAATTCAGAGTGAGGCAAAATAAGGTAGGAATCAATATCAGTAAGAATAACACTTCTGAAGTGCTTTACTGTGTTTTTCTTTTGGGCGTGAGAGAAAGACTTACTTGATTTAACTTTAATGTGCTTAATTCACAGGGGAAGTTAAAACAAGTAGTTAGAAATGCACCTTTAAAAAATAAGATGATACTTCATGCCATGTTCAAAGACTGCAGTAAATTGTAACTGAAGCAATTTTAGGTCTTCCTCTTCCATATAAGCTCCTTATTTTCAGGCGTTTTGAAAGATCTGTGTAGCAGTTTGGGATAAAGGAGCATCTGACACAAAGATTAAAGCCAACAAGAAATAAACTGCGATTATGAGATTGCATATATGCTTTTGTACTACTGCATGCAGGAGTGCCAGTGCAGTGTTGAATTATGCCTGCTGCAGATGAAAATATGCATATATATTTAATTAGTTTGCATAAGACAACTGGAATAGAAACAAAAACAAGTTACTGCTATGCTTGCATCAATAGGAGAGAATGGCTCTAGTTTTTAGTACTGCTAGAAGAATTCAAGTGGCTCGGTTTTGGTTTTGGGTTTGTTGTGGTTTTTTTTTTGTTGTAGGGTTGGGGTTTTTTTGTTTGGTTGGTTTTTCTGCGATGTAATTTGTAGCTTGAACATTTGTGATAGAGAAATCCATATCCTAAATGTGTCTGCAAAGTCAATTGTGCAAGCTTTGTGACATCAATATAAATCTTTTATGGAATAACTAACTACATGATCTGTGCTGAGATTATAAAATGAGAAACTTCAGTATTGGTTGTTGTATGATATTAGTTGCAGACATTTGGCATTAACTGAGCAGCTCTGAAGATAAAGAAACACTTGAGAGCTTTGGTTGATGAGAAACTCAGTGTGACCCAGCTATGTGCTCTTGCAGCCTGGAAAACCAGCCCAGTATCCTGGGCTGCACTAAAAGAACTGTGACCAACAGGTTGAGGGAGGTGAGTGGTACTACCTTGCTCTCCTGAGATCCCACATGGAGTGCTGCATCCAGCTTTCCAGCACAGGAAAGACCTAGACCTGCTAGAGCGAGTCCAGAGGAGGGCTCCAAGGACTATCAGAGGGCTGGAGCACCTCTCCTGGGAAGACAGGCTGAGGGAGCTGGGGATGTTCAGCCTGGAGGAGAGAAGGCTCCAGGGAGACCCTACAGCAGCCTTCCAGTAACTAAAGGGGCCTGCAAGTGAGCTGGAGTGGGACTTTTTACAAGGGCATGTAGTGATAACACTAAAGAGGAATGCCTTTAAACAGAAAGAGGATAGATTTAGATTAGGTACTAGGAAGAAATTCTTTCCTGTGAGGATGGTGAGGCCCTTAAACTAATTGCCCTGAGAAGCTGTGGATGCCCCATTCCTGGAAGTGTTCAAGTCCAGGCTGGACGGGGTTTTGAACAATCTGGTCTAGTGAAAGGTGTCCCTACCCGTGGCAGAGGGGATTGGAAGTAGGTGATCTTTAAGGTCCTTTCCAGCCCAAACCATTGTATGATTCTGGAAGAAGGGTCTGTAAGTGCTATGCAGATGATCTGCACCCAGAGTTATAATTTCTGTCTATTTAGTAAAAAGAAAAGCTGTACAAAATTCTAATGATTTTCCTTGGTACGTGGTTAGAGCTAGATGGTTCAGTTCTGGAAAGGTTCCAAAAAACTCAGTTCAAAGACTAAGCCTACAAAGTTACCCAAGGCACATCATACTTGAGTAAACAAGAATCTAGAATCTGAGACTCTTGAGACGAGACTTCTGTTCTCAACTCTTCCAACGGTTTCTTGTCTAAATTTGGGAAAATGCTTTAAAAAAAAAAATTCTCCTTTGATTTGCATTCTGTTATCCTGTGTAGGAGAGAAGTACTTAGACACTAGACATTAATGTTGTAGTTAACCCAG